TAACAAAGATATTCCTGAAAAATTATTTCATTTTCCTACAACCAAGAATATTTTGCAACCTGCCTAATAAAACTCTAAGTAGGTTGCCTTTGTTTGCAAATTAATTAAACATTAAAATTAACTGTCCTGCAAAACAGTGTGAAATAAGGAAATACTCTTCTTTCAGATGATGCAAAACCAATTTACACATACCTGTGTCCCAGGAACAATGGTACAGACAGACCAAGAAAAGACAATAATTAGCAAATAATTTTCCTCACAATAAATTATCAAGTTGCAAAGTGCTTGGTATTAAGGTGTCATTCAGTAAGCTAGGCAATTAGTAACCTTTTTTAGTTAATACTAGGGAAGCAGTACGGAAACTAGCTATCAAAGCGTGGGGTGGAAATCCGAGAATGTGGGTACACAGGATTTTGTGAATGAAAGTGTAAAAAGATGTAATAACCATTCTCTCTGTTTAACCCTGCAAAGTCAGCCCAGCCAGTCAGACAGACTGCTTGCCTAAGAACAGTAATAACAGACTACCAGGGTTTGTGTTTGCATACTTACACAGGCTCTAGAGACAAAATACACCTTTAGAGAAGACCACTGGCCAGTCCAGTAGCAATAACATCTTCGGAATTTACAAGCAAAGATGTTTTGCATAACTGTCTACCAGTTACTCAAGCCAGGCTGTGAATTTCAGACCAAAGACAGCAATCAGTCATTGATTTTAAACTGAGAAGTGAGTGTTCCTTTCAGTGATGTTTAACAGAACTGACAGAAACTCTCTTAAACAGCCTGAATGTTAAACAACCTGAATTAATTAGAGCTGCCCTGAGCAGGGGGTCCGACGAGATGACCTCTGTCCATCCCTCCCAGTCTAAATTACTTTGTGATTCTCTGTGAGCATCTGACAAGACCAAACTTGTACACTGCGAGGGAATCCTTCCCTTGGACAAGTCCACTCCTTTTTCCATCAGCACACCTGGACAGCTCAGTCATGGTTTCAGGCCTCCCCCTCCCGAAAAACACAAAAACATGTTGCATTTGGTCTTCAAAAATCAGCAGAAACTCTAAATGAGCTGTATTACATACATATTGCATCATACTTTTTAATTTCAGCTGTGGACATGCTACACAACTTTACTCTTTTGCCTGGAAAAGGTCACCAGTTCATTATCCCATGCTTTCCTATGCTACATTAAATACCAGCCATGGCTTTTAATAACTGATGGCGGTTAATAGCTGATAAGTAGAAAAACAAAGGCAGAAAATCCACTAAAAAAAATAGAATTATTCTCCAGAGCCAATGTGAGGGCTGGGAGAGAAACCTTGAGCCTTGAAAAGTCACTTGGGGCAAGATTTTATTACGCGTCCATGTGGCTTTGAGATACCGAACACGCGGAGACTGGGATGCTACAGCAATGGCCTGAAGCTCTGAAGTATGCTAGATCCTGCCCTGGCTGGTTTCCAAGCAGTCCCTCTTTCCAGGCCCTTGTAACAGAAACTGCTACACCCGTCTGAGTTGCAGCCAGGGAGGCCAGCCCAGAATACCAGCAACGCCCTTCAACAACAGAAGTCCCCCAGTGCCAGAGTCATTAAAAAAGAATTCATAGCCCATCGCCCTGTTTGAGGCAAAAAGGTGGCACACGTGTGCCTGTGCTCTGCAGCTGCCCAGGCAGAGCTGCTGCTTGGTGCAGTGAAACAGGCCAGCCTGCATCTTCTTCTGTCAGGCTAGCAAGCTGCTCTCTACATCCAGTGCATGAATCCTCCTCTGCCTGTTGCTCTCCCAGCATCTCCAAAGAGGTGGGAGATCTTCACATTACTTAGACTAGGCCTATAAAGAAACAGAGCATTTAAAAATACAAGTAAATCCTTTACTGGCACAGGTCCAATTAACAAAGGAAGAGCAGCATTGTTTCGCACATCTGAAGTGCTAGAGGCACTGGGAGCACTTGGACAGAGCTCTGGGGATGGAAGCACATGCAAAAGGCTTTTCCTACATCTCTACATCCCCAGAAAATAGGTAGCATGTGTTTGATCTCATATTATTTGTTAGCAGCTAAGTTGTCTGGTAGAAGCCAAACAGCGTCTGAGATGTTTTCTGCCACAGATATTACCTGTTCCAGTTTACTCTGCAGAAGCATACAAGATCCTACATGGCATTCTTGACAGTGCTGACCTGATTTATCATTCACGAGCCTTCAAATTTGACATAATGAAAATCATGTCCAAGACCTCTATCCTGCAGCTGTTTTGACTCTGGCTGTATTTTCAGCCACAGTTCAGGGGATCAGTCACTCTGATAGAAACATGCAGACTACCAAGTGAGGGTCCCACTTGGTTCACTGCCTCCCTATGAGACCTTCTGTCTGAGCTCTCTCTTGGGTAACTTGCTTTCTACTTAGGAGGCACAGAATGGTGCTGCTGTTTCCATTGATTATTCAAAGGCAACAGTGCCAGACAAGTTTGGGACAACAGCACTGTTACAGCATCTGAGGGTTAAGCATGAAAAGGACCTGGTGTCAGGCTTCTTCAGGCTGGCTACCAGAGCACTCGGCTGCCACAGACACAGCTGAGGGGCACAGTCAGCTCACCTGAGACAGTAGCCACCCCTTAGCCATGGCCATGTGCCTTCCCTGAAACTTTTGAGGCACTTGGAAGAACAGAGCAGCTGAGGCAGAAAGGGAGCTCTGGAGATCATCTAGCCCAAAATCACTGCTCAAAGCAAGCATAGCTGGATGAGTGTGCAGAGGATCATGTCCAGTTGTGTTTGGAGCATCTCCAAGGATGGAGACTCTATAACTTCTCCTAACAGCCTGGTTCAAAGTTCAAGTACTCTCACAGCAAAAAAGTTTTTTCTTACATTTTCTTTGTGCTCTAGCATAGGAGACATTATTTCCTATCACAGTCCCTCCATCTGGTCTGTCCACTGGAAGGAGAAGGAATGCTGCCACCAACAGCCCCCTTTGGTATGCAGGTCGTCTGCTGGCCTGGAGAACAGTGCCAGACTGTCTGAGTCACAGCTCCAAAGGCTGCAGGTGATCCCAAGAGCATGGTGAAGGTCAGAGATGTGTGACAATTGCTGTTTGTTTGTACTGATTTTGCAAAGAACTGTGGTTAAAACAGGCTCTGGATGCCAGGGTGACGGCAAGCCCTTCCTCAAGTAAAGGACAGCCCAGTGGCACAGCTGGAAGGCGGAAAGCACAGGCACAGAAGAGACAAACATCACATAGCAAGCACAACTCTGGTTTACTGCAGGGAGGAAGAAATTCAGTAGCTAATCAAGTGAATTGGAGGTATGCTGTGTATTTCTCAGACCTGTGCACACTTACATAAAAGAAAGAGCTGCATTTGCTGGGTGACAAGTTCCTTAGAGCTCTTTCTTAATTGAAACAATTTCTTTTACACCTGAGAAAAAGCCACAAAAATTGAACGGCAAACAAAATATTCTTCAAAGGAAGTGTGATTTAAGAAAGGGTTCAACTAAACATAAAGGAGATTAACTGCCATTTGCTCAATTTGTTTCTGAAGTCTTCTATCCAGATGAGTTTTGAAAAGTTATCTTTGCAGCAGTGATAGACCAGACACCCACCAAGCTGAAATACTGACAGCTTTGTTTTGTAGAAGGATGCTGTTTAGCCACACATAAAAAAGATCACAAGAATTATTCTTCTCTTTAGCTCTTCACTTCAAACTCTGTGACAGAAACTCCACCCACATGGCCAAATACAACCACACCAGCTGAGCATATCCTTGGGTCACAGCACAGTTACCAACCTAACTGAATGCTCATAAATGCTTCAAGTGTTACATACACAACACAGGCTCTGACAGAAACTCAGCACAAAGCTGGTTTCTAGGCCATAAAAAATATTTGTTAAAATCATATCCTTTAAGAAGTCTGTCTCTAACGCTCCCTTTTTTGCACTGGACCCAGTAAAATGTGACAAAAGGGTTACTCTTCTTTTAAACAAATGGCCACCTTCCCATCTATAGCCAACATAACATGTCCTGCAATACTGCAATAAAGCTTTTTATTCTCTTAAATAAACTCAAATTCCAAGTTCATCCTGCTGGCTGTTAGGTACTACAGACCAGGATTGTTGAACTCCAGCATGTAGTTCCCTTTCAGTTCAGAGTATGGTACAATTTGTACCAAATTTCTCATAATGACAGTGTTTTCAATCTACAAGAATCATCAGGAATTGTCAGTATGGGAGACCAAAGCATGCCACTGCAAACCTCGCTATCTTTATCCTTTATCCTTTATTAACTTTATCAAGTTGTCAAAATTACTGCTGCTCTGATATCTTGTTTGCAAGAAGGCTGACAAGCTCAAAAAACTGACCCATGATGCCAGAAATACCTGACTATATTCCTTTCCAGTCTACTCTTCCACAGGACAAAGCTCTGGCTTCGTTGTTGCAGATAAGCAGACAAAACCTGCTCAGCCCTTGCTCTCACAGCCATAGTCTACTGTACTTAACATTAATTTAGGGGAGAGAGGGATGCCAAGCTTTCTGATAGGAGAAGCCTGAAACTCACAGTGCCCCAGGTACCTGTGTTTAAAGCCTCCAGCTTTAAGCAGCTGCAGCCTTCTCAGATTTTGCAGGCAAACTAAGTAGCATCTCTGCATCTTCAAGGCAGCAGGAACACAGTGTCTTGTCCTCCAGCTCCTCTCTAGTGAGTTGAAGCAGAGCACCACCACCAGCTGCCAAGGGCATACAGCTCTTGTACAATACGATTCACCCTCTAGTGGATGATACAGAACCTGTTTACCTGCACATAGACTTGGGTAACTGCTGGCCAGGTGGGTCAATTCTGTCCTGGTCTGGATGACATTTTGCTCCTCTAAAAGCTTCTAACGATCAAAAAAGCGAGATGATTAAGAGTACATAAAAGCCAGCACATAAATCCATGGTATAGGATCAGTGTAGTGTTCTAAAACAGGGAAGTCTCCAACTTACAGTGGCTTACTGTGATGCAGGAAATTAGTAAGTACATTAAACAGAAGGTAAATGTAACAGATTTTATTAAATTTACATATAAATTACAGTCTTGTGTGTTATGCATGATTGTATAGTTAGATGTATCCCATTCTGCCTTGAGTGAAGATGTTAATTCCTCTAAAAACACAGATGGGAGAAACTGCAGCTTGTAGCTTCACAAATAGGTGAAAATGCAGCTTAAAATAAATACAAGTCTGCTAGAGCACCTAAACCCAGTAAAACATTTTGGCTTCAGGTTTCCTTAATTTCCCTCATGAAAAGCCAGACAAGGTTGACATCAGAGTAGTTTTGCCACAAGTGAGGGGTTCAGACCCATCATGTCCAGCCACACTAATACTCCCTTGGATGAATTCTGTTCTTTCAAATGCTCTTCTTGATAGTCACCATTTGTACTGCTCTGCATCACCAAGAGACCTCAGAGCATGTAGATGCCAGGTCCTCTTCATCCCCACTCCTCGTGGCTGCACTGTGCTGGCCCCCAGCAGTAAGGGAGATCAGGTATCTCTACAAGGACACACTCTCAGAAATGGCAGCTCCTTAAGCAAATGGCAAGTTGAGTTTCTAAGTTTTGTTTGCTCCACTTTGGAGAACGAGGTTTACTCCAGCCTTTGAGACTGAGCTAAATGCTTAAGGCTGCCTGATAGAGTACCCAAAAGAAGCAAATTGGAAAGTTCACCAATTCAAAATTAATTTTTTGGACATCTACTTATCTGTTTTGGGGAATCAGTGAGAAAGTTGGTATTTGCAACCCTAAAAATGTGAAGTGTGCAAGTTACTATGAAATCCAGCAGATGGGGAAACCATTAAACCCCTTGAAGACCCAAGCCTAAAGTGCTTTAAGAACTGAAAATCTATAATATTTCATAATGATATTTATGAAGAAAAGTATAAAATTTTATTTACCATCCTGGCAAGGCAATTGCTACAACCAAGAAAAAAAAGAAATCATATATAACTTTCATATATCAGTTTTAAGCTTCCTGTAACAAGCAATATATGTCAAAGACATATTTGGCTGAAGAGGCTGAAATGAAAGTTGTTGGGCTCAGACCTATGGAACCAGTCTGGTAGTGTTTATTCCCTGTGTAGAAATTAAACCACCAAGTTTAATTCTGAAGCTCACAACATTCCACAATAAAAGTTCCTGGAGGGGGAAAAAAAAAAAAATCAAGTGCCAGTTATACACAAGTATAGAACACACAACAGCTGCAGACCTTCTGTGGGCTTCCAATTATTCCAGTACCTCCAGTGAGACTCTAGAAAAACACTGTTCTCTGGACTGACAAACAGATCAAGGGACATGTAACCAAAACACTTCTGTTATCACCGCTCTGGGGGGATTGCTGCTCTGTTTGGCAGCACTGGCAGCAAGCTGCAAGGTCCAGAGGGGATCCCTGAACTGCCATTGACTTTGCCAGCTGACTGGTGTTCAACTTGAACAACACTCTGATCCTAAGACTATAATCACTGAAGGCCTCTTTCCCTTGGCCCTTCTGACTAAGAGCATGCTGAAAGCCTGCTGTTTGCCTTTTCTAGCCTGGCAGAAAGTTCTTGCTTGCTTGCCATGCTGGACCAGCTCTGAGTCTTGGCAGTGTGGCCAGTGTCTCCTCTCCTGAGTTCTTTCTCTTCTTACCACAGAGGGAGAAGAGAGCAGTTGAGTGGCTCATTATCCAGCAATTAAGTCCACAGCACCTGCTGTTGTTAGGATCAGGATCCACATGAAGTGTTGGAAAGCTTGCAGACACACCAAAGAGAGCACCCCCAACCAAGAATAGGTGTGTTCTGCTGCTGGGTTGTAGAAAGCATTGGATATCTACCTGGCTGACAGAAATATGGCTCCTGAAAACATGAAGCAAGAGAGAATATAATGTTTGTGTGGCAGAGATCAAACGAGTCAGCTACAGTCTGGCAATGAACACAGGCAATTCTTACTTCCTGTGAGAAGAGAGAGATCTATACATAAGATAAGATTTCTGGGTCTGTCAGAAGTTCTGTCCTGCCCTGAAGGAGAGGGACATTTCCACTGTAATGCAAAAGCTTTTTTTTTTTTTTTAAACAGGATACAGGTAAAGATGCACATATAAAACTAAAAAGACTTGAGAACAACATTCACAAGAATAAGAAAAATAAGTTACTTTGACAATGTTCATACTAAGATCGTTACAATCATCCAACCTACACAAAAGGCAAAGGACTTTTATTCAGGAAAATACAGTCTGGAAAGATAAAAATGTAAATTAATTCAGCTAAATATTGTGCTATGACAACAGACTGGTAAGAACATAAAGTGGTTTTTGGTCTTAAGTCCAGCAATCACTCCCTTGGCAAATGCTGTGGTAGACACTGTTTATGTGAAGAGATGAGCAGGCATATGTTCACTTGCTCAAGAAGGTGGACACAAGCTGGTGTTTTCCACTGAATTTCTCTCTCAGGCAAGGAAAAGATTTCTATTCACTTGAGTAACAGTCCAGTGTGATATTAGGAACCAGGACTTCTCTAAGCCATCTTCCACTTTCCATTACAGTGCATTCCCTGGAATGATGCAGGAGCTCAAGAATTCAGAAGTACCAGCAGCCTTGGAGTCAGGGCCTGGATTGTAGCTTGTCTGTGGATAGACAGGGCCTTGTGAGCACACAGCAAATGGATGGGCCAGGTTTCAGTTATGGCTTGTCTTGGTTGCTGGTAGATGATTGTTTGGGCTCAAACACTTTGCTTGGGTATAAAAGCTGGGGCCATGACATGTGGCCATGGAGAAAAAAGGGTCAATATATTGCATATAGATGAAGGCAGTTGTCCCACTGACAGACTACTTCCTGAACACACAAATGTCACACGGATCAAGTCCGTTCCTGTCTGGCTGTAGGCCAAGCCAGTTTCAAGTCCTAGACTGCTCCCAGCTTACAGGTACTTTATACACGACCACAAGCTAAGCCAGCAGCTGCTTAGAGGGTGACCACAGAGCAGGATGTGTCAGAGGAATAGCTGTACACAGGCCACAAAACTTAACCTGCTCCAGGTTTCAGATGCCCGTTTTGGAGTGGATCCAGTTTCGATAGTAAGTCACTCGTGTATAAACTCCAGGTTTATTTGGCTTGCCACATTCATCTCCCCAGCTCACTATTCCCACAAGATACCAGATTCCTCTGGAATTCGCGTGCACCAGTGGCCCACCAGAGTCACCCTAAGGAGAAAAACGTCAACAGACAGAAAAAAGTAAAGTGTTCACCTCACTCATGAACTCAAATTCTCAAATTGTTCTATTAAAATTGACAGGTATTTTTCTGAAGACCACAGCTATAATTCAAGTTTCACACAGTTTACTGACAAAACAGAGGCTCACAGCCTATGTCTAATTCAGTCTCTGCCAGTCCACACCCTCACATCTGCATTCTCACTTGTGCATTGTATATAAATCTCATGCAAACTGAAGTGCAGACTCCAGCACGTGAGCCTTGAAGCTCTTCATTTGTACCTGTCAAGATATTGAAACTCAAAAGCTTAAGATTGCCCAAAGCACATTTTGTTTCTAGAAAACATCACCTTCCACCCCACCTATTTCCCTTTTACTACTACTGAAAAAGACTTACCTGACAAGCATCCACCTGCCCCTCCAAATATCCAGCACACAACATTCCAGGTGTTATTGCTCCACCATACACTTGTCTCCTATTACAAACCGCAGTACTTATAATTCTCACTTCTGCTTGTCGAAGCTGATTGACACTATAGCCTAGAAGGAGAAGTGGCATTAGAATTTGCAGACAGGGTAAGCAACATGAAAATTCAAAGATTAAGATTAGCCAAATTTTCCTGCCACTTTTCTGCCATCACAGGCAAATTAAGGGAGCTACCCAGAAAATGTTTCAGGATTAAGAAGTTCTCCCCACTGCCAAAGTCCTTCACTCACTCCCAAGCATAACTCCTGTCCATCTTTCATCATCACCAGATGCTCATTAACATAATGAACAAATGGATTTTTGTACATATTTCAGTGCTGCATTCAGCTGTAGACTACATGGTATGTCCTTGCAGTCATTGGAAAGATCCATTTGCTTAACTGCAGTGTAGCTTTGGGCAATCACTACACATCCCAAGGGTCTCCCATGAAACACAACCTATACAGTTCAGTGGCTCTCACAAACAGATTTAGAGTCCCATCCTCTCTAACCTCAATGACTGATTTGACTAATTTGAAAGATGATTCATTTGAAAGCAGCTCACCCAAATCACTGGGTGAGGCACTATTTATGACCAAAGAGAGAATAACTGATGGAAATTGTCATGGTGTATCTAGAAAAAAATCTGAATAGCAAAAGAATTCATGTCAAAGCTAAACCCAGAGGGACTGGAGAATAGACTGTATTCAACCAGAGCTGTGCATGCAGCAACTAATAAAAAGCTGCTCTTAAATCCTGTAAGACTAACCTTCATTGTCTTCCCCCCATTTCCAACCCACTGACCAAACCAGGAAAAAAAAAAAAGCAGCAAAATAAGTCCAAAGGTATCTCACTGGGACATGCATCTATTAAACACCAAGTCTAAGAAACTCAAAATAAACAAAAAACTCAAAAAAGACTAACAACAATCTTCTCAGGCACATGCGTGACAGGGCACAGGGAGGCAAGAAACACTCACCATCATTCTCCAAAGCTCCCCAGCCAGTGACAAAACAGGAAGAGTTGTCTGGGAAAATGTGAGATGCTTCAGGAAGGCAGACACTGTGCACATCACTTGTGAACTCAATAGCAGAGGCAAGTTCCACGACAGCCACGTCATATTCATGATCAAGGAGATTATCACCGTATCTCTCGTGAACAATAATTCTCCGGACAAATTTCTTCTGTTTTGGAGGCCTCAGCAGAATTCCAAAGCTGGCAGTCCACCTCCGAGGATCCCTTACTCTGTAAGAAGTTTGAGGTTATACTAGAGACACACAAAACAACATCCCTAAGGGCACTTAGGTCTCCATTTAAGCATCAAAAAGCAATGTGATCGGGTTTGCCAAAGGGGAAGAGAAGAGTAAAACTTCATTATCTTTCAGCAGATACAGATATTACAGGGTAACAAAAGGTCAGGGCACCCAAGAGTCCTAAGGTCTGTAGGATCAGAGAGGTGCTGATGACTTACCCTCTAAAGCAGTGGGCTGCAGTCACCAGCCAGGTGTTACTGATGATCGATGCACCACAGCGATGGGTTCCATCGAGCTGAATGCTCGCCTGCCATGGCCATTCTCCCTCCCGCGCACGCTGCCCACCAGTTATTCTTTCCACTCCTGTGAAGGAGAATGCCTGTCTTCGTATTCCACAGCCTGTCAAAGAAAAGGCAGCCCTGCTTTAGCTGATTGAAGGCCCTCATGGCTGCAGGCATGGGTGTAACAGGGCAGAAGTCTCCATCAAGAGACAGCCTTCACCTAAAGCAGGGAAACCAAATGCCATGGTCACAAGTGTCTCAGGATCGATGCAGGGTATACAAAGAAGTTTGGTAGAGGATTCAGACCTTTTTCATTAAACCAGTTTTCAGACACACAAACCGATGTGAACTCCCATGGGAACTGAAGGCTGTGTATCTGAGACACTGACGAAAAAGGGATTTTGTCAGGTCACCTCCAGATTAGCCTTGGCAGCAGCAACAAAAAAATAGTGTCCTCTTCCCAGCAATTTACTTACAGCCACTGAGCCAACAATCAGGTATTACCCAGCTGAAAAAAGTTAAATTCAAACCAGTTAATTCTCAGAGGCCATTTGGAGATGGAAAGCTAACATGCAAAGTCTTCAAGAGCATGCAGTGGACTGACAGAGTGACCTGGGAGGGTACTCATGCTGTCTCCCAGTTTCCAGAGCAGCTCTAAGACCTCAAGGGGAAGCAAAACAGGAGGACTGAGAATCTGCCACTCTCTGGGACGGTGCCACTGCCTTGCTCTGAGTGTGGACAGCTCTTCTCCCTCTCCCACCCTCTGGCCTTTCCTTAAAGTTTAGCTCAAATCTGACAGACACCTATTGCCAAACCTTTCTTCAGGGAGGAGGAAGAAGGAGGGAATATGTTTTTTGAAGGATTCCAGCAAGAATTATGGCCCACAGCAAAACTGTAGTCCTTCTGCAGACTTGCTAACAGCAGCTCACTACATGCCCCTACTTCCAACAGCCAACATTAAAGCAAGTGCTTCCCACCACCAAACCAGAATGCTTGATTCCACAAATGTAGAGAGGCAGCAAGACTGCAAGGAAATGAGCTGAAGTTTTCCCTGGCTCATACACTGTCTACTGCTCTAATATCTGCAACAAATTCTATTTTCAACTTGTATCATGAAAATATAAGGATTTTGAAAGCACAAAATGGCCAGCACTATGTCCCTGGACCTTTACTATAAAGCACTTGTACTTACAGTTGTTTAAAAGGTTATCTCCCTTTTCCTTGTTCAACTCTGGAATGAAAAGCAAAGACCACAGTAAGTTTCTCTCATATGCTACATGATCTAGCCCAGACTCTCTCCCTGTACCAGGAAACACAAATTAAATGGCTTGCACTGCTGCCTGGAGTGACAGTACAAAAAGTAGTAATTTTCTCTGTTGGAGAAGTTCAGATAAGCCTCTGTGCCTCACTGAAAGGCCATAGGATGCACCATGCTTGCCTTAGCTCAGAGCTAGCAAAAGGAGCAGATGACTGCAAGCGGGTCCAAGTTACATCTACATGTACAACATGCACAGCCAGCAAATGACTGATTCATGGGAGAGGATTACTGCCCAGGGATGCTCACTACAGCATTCTATCGAATAACAAAGGAAATGGCAGAGGGTAGAGAAGGGAATCACCTCAGCCTTGCATTTTTTTAACAGCTTGAGGACTCTGCATTTCAGTGCCTGGTTATAAAGGCTCTTGTTTAATTTACTGTATGTCTTAGAGTTGTTTGTGAACCCATGGTCACAAAGTTGGGTCTTTTTTTATGAATCGAGTGGGACTTCTCATTCAACACACAGGGAAATCCTCTGATGCATGGAGAAGAGTTCACACTCATAAATCAATGACAATATGCTTTAGTTCTTTCCACGCTCTGTCTTCCAACTTCCCAGATTGTCAGCCTAACAGACAATTTTGAGAAGGCAAAAAATGAAAACATGAATAACCCATGTTCGCATACTAGGGTGAAACTCCTTACACTAAGATCAGCAAAGTGTGAGGAACAAATTCCAAGCTGAAAACACCAACCTAAGGCACTTGCCTGTGAGTCTAATGGTAGATTGGTCAACATTCAGGTAAGTCGATGTTGCTTTCAGCCTTCTGAGTAACACACGGTTGACTTGACCCCAGGTCGCTGCTTCACTGTCAGCAGAGGGAAATTTAAATACCAGAACAACAGATGCAAGCACTCCAACAGGATCTGGGCTACAAACCAACAAAAACAAATGGTGTAGTTCTCTTTGCCTACTAACGCCCCTGGTTCTGCTTTGTACTGCTTGCCTTCTTTATATGAGAATGGGTCTGTTCTGCACAGATGTCCAGAACAAATAGCATGGCTGTGCTCAAGTAAAGGAAGATGATGACATGTCAGCAAGCAGAAAAAGCTTCTAGCTAAGACAGTGATCAGAGGGAATTTTCTGGGAACAGTTATTAGCAGTAGAACTGAGAAGCAAAGAAGGGATCACTCCCTTTGGCCTCCAAGTGAGTCCTTATCAGCCGGACACAAGTGACAGAGGGAACACTACAGCAAATTAAAACCCTTAAACAGATATCCAGCAGGCCATTCCTAACAGCCAGTCAAAAGATCCAGTTACAACAGAAGCTAGAAAGTTCTTTTGGCATTTCTTTCCATTTAAGTCACGTGTCCGTTTATTGGCCAGTTAGATCGCTCATCTCCATACAACATTCTCAATGATTTGAGGTCACTTACTGACACTATTAAGTATCTTAAACTAACCATCTAAAGGAAAACCAACTGAAGCTTTGAGGGAGAGAGATCAGAGGAGCAGCTAAGCTGCCCCCCTGCCTAGTTGTAAAAAGTACCTGTAGTGAGAACAAGTTTGGAAGAGATCAACCTAAAAGGTGTAAAGAAGTCACTCAGACTCTATCTAGCTCCTAAGCTCTGCAATTTCTCTTGACATACACTGTGGGAGGCTTGTGGAAGAAACCAGCATCAGAAAATTATGTAGAACAGTTTAAGAAATTACTCATTCCATCTAGAGACAGGTAAAGGCAAAAAATCCCAGAAGTTCTGTGAAGGACATTTGTGGGAAGTCTGGCATTTTTTTGCTAGCTTGGGAAAAATAGTCCACAGCAGATTAAGCCTTGCAGACGTACAACTCCAAAACAAAGTAACATGGAAGAGAGGGAAGCAAGGGCTCTTACCACTGAGAGTGATACATTATTACTGCAGGGGAAACAGTTAAATCTCTAACACTGGACCCTCTACTATATCCATGTCCATGTTCCCTCCTCTATATCCTTGTATCTCGCAGTGGAATCATTGCTTCAGGCCTTTTCACAGGGAGGGGAGAACAGTCACCTCCTATCATACATCATTCAGAGGGGTAAACACCAGCTCAAGCTTACACAGGAAGAAATAATGTGAAAAAGAGCTTATTCTGCATCTCTCAGGCTGTCAGCCAGTAGTGAAGATGGGCATCACCCAATAATCCAGTTACTGTATCACATCCACAAACAACTGGTGTACAGCTAATCAATCTGCAGAAGTATAAGGCCAAGCTTCTCTTCCTTGCTGACCTCTAAGGGTAATTCACTGCTGTGAGCACTGGAGGACAGCAAAAACCAGAAAAGGCTTAGTCACCCTGCTGGTGTAACCCAAGCATAAGCAACCAGGAATGCTCCATGTGGTCAACAGGTAGGAAGAAAAGGTATTTAGCACATCCCTGCTTATTCCTGGCCTTCACATTACTTACCTTAGACTGACCACATGGGACCTGATGTATCTTTTACTTAGAAAGGACCCCCTGAATACTTCAGACATCTGTTAAAAGAAAAGACTGTGTTAAAATACACCTGCAATAAGTACATGCTTTTACAATATAACGGTCTCATGAGCCTCTGAAACACACAAAAATGCCTTCAGATCTCCACCTCCACACCAAAGCTGCCCCTAAATTTCCATCAGAGTATGTAGATCCAAAATGAACAGCTGAGTTGGCTGATTTCACTGTCCTTTCTGCTCTGTGGTTGCCAGCTCCACCATAGGCCTTCTGGAACAGACAGCACCTGTGTTTATCATCTGCACATGCAAAGTCAGCTATGCATCTTTAACCCACAACAGCAAGGTGTGAAAGGTAAGGCCAGCAATGTAGGGATGAGGCACAATCACCTCTATTTTCCATCACACATTTACAGAACTCCTCACCACAGGCCAGGTGTAAACAGAGAAGCTTTTAGTTTACCATGGTTTCAATATCTTCACTTAGGTTTCTGAACTCATCTGTAGTTTGCCTTTCATACTGAGAATTGTAGTCGACATTGGTGATTAGGAAAGATGCATTGTAATATCTGTCTTGATCTACAGAGGAGAAAAAGAAGGAAAGGTAGCTGATCATCTTTAGTACAATTCAAAGATGCACAGTATCTCATAGAACATGGCACAAGCAAGGGTCCCTGGCCCTGGCAGTGATCCAGCCAACTGTGAAATTACAGCTTTGGCAGCACTTTGGCGAAAAGGGGGTTCTGGACCATCCTGTTGCTCCATGGGCCATCTAGGAGCTGCTCTTCTTCTTTGAGGACCATCCCAAGGAGCTCCAAATTACACCCACTACAACATTTCCCTGGGGCCCATCTTCTTGTTGGCCTGAAGTGAGCACAGCAGGAGACAAAGGAGCCCTTCCAACTCAGACACATCCACTCCTCCCCAGCTGCACTCTGGCACGTCCCTGCCCCTCTGAGAGGCACGTGAGGCAAAGCTGTTTGCATCCATTCAGTGGCTGGGTTAATTTTAAAATCTGATTCTCGGGTGTATGGCAGAGAGGGGCCCTGTAACATAGAGCCAGCAAAAAGCAGAGCTGAGCTGTAGTTCTGCCACTGCTCCTTCTGGTGTCCTAGTGCAAGCCACAGCCTCGACTCTTGGCAAGCTGAGATGGCCACATGATTAATCCCATTCCAGCAGGAAAGCATTTAAAAAGCTCACACTGGTATCTCAGAGACTGTGAACGGAATGACTCAACTTCATTCATGAGGCAAGTGACTGGGAATGGAATTAATTATCTTCAAGTCATAAGCCAAGATGGTTGGACTTGATGATCTTAAAGATCTTTTCCAGTGTTAATGATTCTATGATCTGCTACTGAAACTCAGCTCTTGGCAACGAGAACTGAGTCCTGAGCTCGGAAAAGCCTAAAGCTCTGCCCTCTGTCTGGAATATTCTTAGCTAGAGGAGCCAGGCTGAGTTTCTGCAAAAACCCCATTCAGGACTAATCTTACTATGCATAGCCTGAGTACTAGACACACCTCTGGCTTATACTGAAGACTGTTATATTTTGGTCAGTCAGTGGAGACACTGGATACCAGTGGAAACACCAGGGCAAGAAACAAAAGGAGGGTTAAAACTGAAATCCCTCCTTCAAGTAAAGTATATTTCGAGTATTCTTACAGGTTTTCAGATCAATCTAGTTCTCAAACAGCATTTAGAAAGTTCTCATGTGAGTTTTATACCGGGGCAAATTGCATGCCTAAATCATCAGGCAGGACTACAGTAGCAAGTGAAACACAACATATTCCTGAAAGCTTGTAACAAGAAAATAGCAGGGCACTTACCGTGGCACAAAAGAAATGTAATCAAGCCAATGATAAGGGCTAAGCCTACTATCACCGATACAACAATGACTGCAATCTTCCATGGCTCTATGCGCCTTATTGCTCTGTCCATCTGGATCACTGCCTGTATTGAAGAAAACAACATGGAGAAATTCAACTCTAGTACAAAGACAATAGTTCATCCAGAGTCTAATCATATCTGGCACAGCTTAGCTCAGCTGAAAAACCCCACAGAATGAAGTAGGTTGGGAAGAACATCTGGACTCTGAGGGTCTGACTGTTTAAACTAAGCTCCACTAAGGCAGGTTGCTCCAAGCCTCGTCCTGTCAAGTTTTTAGTATCTCCAAGGAGAAAGATAATTCAGTCTCTCTAGATCTCTGGTCCAGTCACTGCCCATCCTCACGGCAAAAGCTTTTCCTTTATATTTAGTCAGAATTTCTTGTGTTCTAACTTGCCTCTGTTGCCTCACATACACCCCGAGAAAAGGTTGTGCAGGTATCACTAGGAGAGACAATTTCACTTCAAGAAATATAACACAGATTTCAGGTGCAGCCAACTGCCTACACAGACACTAAAACTGAACATAAATGTAATAATTCATGACTGATGAAATAACCTCTGCCCCAAGGATACTCTAGGCGACCAGAGATGCCACGTAATACATAGCTTTGGTTATATTTAGTTGGTATGAGTAGTAACATTTCTGGAGTCCCCACAGGGTTTGGGGCTTACTGCTCCAAAGCCACACATATATTGAAAGCGACCACATCCTGTCTCCTGCCAGACAATCTATAGAGAAAGAGGTGCTTGTGTGTAAATGTGACATGGCAACAAGATCCAGTAGTAACTCTCTGAAAGCCAACAGCAGAGCTGTAAAATGGTTGAGAACTTGACTCACACATCGACAAAGGCTTTTTCCTCCACTTACACCCTCCAGTGAAGCATTAAGCAACAGAACATTAGGAAAACTGCATTTTTGTGCATGCCCTCAGTAGCTTTATTGTAAGATGATGTAAAACCTTAAGCACAATTATTAGAGATCCCCAGTAATTCCACAGCACACAGTATGTGGTAATTGTCATGCCACAAACTGAGTCTCCACAACTTGGTCTGCATTAGTACAAGGTATCAGAAAAACACCTGAGATAATCTCTCAGATATCCTGGAGTGACAAATGGCAACAGTCAGCCCTCAGGAGGAGGAGGACTGGCTGGCTACTCCCCGTGCTGCTTTACACCCCTTGATCCATGCTTGTATTTCTGTGGACTAAACACTGGTTTCCCCTCTTCAGGCCTATGGCACAGTCATCTCTAAGCAAAATCTAAGATGCAGGCAGGAAGAGATAATAAGAAAGGCAGAGATAATAAGTGTTTGCAGGTTTTCTTTCTAAGGTGGAAAAGAAGAAGTCACAGTGAAAGCAGAACAGGTTACCATCAGAGGCTCCATCTCAGGAAATGAGCTGAGTGGGCCAATGAACAGTAAAGATGAGGGTCTGGTGCACAAAGCCAAGACAGTAAAAGGTAGTGAAGTGGTGAGAGAAGGGGATGGTGTTATACCCTCTGCTCTGATGAGAAGAAAACCAAGTAAAGCCACAAGCAAGAAATGGCAAGAAAAAAAAAAAAACAGGGAAAAAAATATCAAACAACCAGATAGCACTACAGAGGAAGGAGATGAGAGATCTGCAGACAGCAAGGGTGTATTCAGCAAGAAACAGGGAAGTTGGAAGGAACTTGAAGTTTAATCTCCTCATAAAATCTTGGTTTTGGCTAGTGAGAGTGCTAGCCAAATGGGCAAATTTTTTACCCATTCAAACAAGTGGCATACTGGAAAGAAAATGTTAAAACAGAGGAGCTTCAGCCAGCATCACAACTGCAGGTAGCCACAAGCAGCAGCTTAGTGTTACCAAAATATACAGGACAGGTGACAAGATCATGCCTTCTGCTTCAGAGTCACATGCTATGGAGAAACCCAGTATCTCTCCTTCTATTGCTCCTACTTTTCAGGAGCAAGGTCTGCTCTTGCAATGCACAGCACCAGACTGCCTCAGTTTCCTGAGTCAAGGATGCAGGGCAGTGGATAGGAGTCTGAAAACCCAGGCTGGTCAAGGTTACTTCTTTGCAAACTGCAAGTTGCAATAAGCGCATAAATAACACCCACTAGAACTCAGGTGACTCCACTGAGGCCTTGACTTCTCACCATCTACACTTTCCCTGTATACACTATGCATCAGCTCTGAGGGCTTAGCAGAAAAAGAGATTTAGATAAAAACCTAAAACCAGTGGAACTGTTCTGCCTCAATTTCTTCAATATGCTGCAACCTTCCATGGAACACTCCCAAACCTATCTCACAGCCCTTCCCAGTCCCAGGGAATTGCAACTTACCTCATGGGCAATCAATTATTACCCTTGAGGGCAAGCCTCTTGGCTAATCAGAACAGCCCACTAAGGCAATATGTCTCTGCCCCTCCTTAGTAGCCACATCTCATGTGCTTTGAGAGAGGCAGCTTTTTCATCTCACTTTGCTCTCCTCGCTGGAGAGCTTTTGCTTCCAGCCTCAGCCTCTCCCATCCATCTCAGTCAGACTGGTTCCCTGTCCTGCAGCTGTGCCCACTGCAATAGGCTTCCATCTGAATGGCAATTGGAGCACCATCCCTCCACTGCTCTCAGCACAGAGAACACGCAGCATAGCCCTGGTAGTGTATGGCTGACTCTGCAGATGTTGAGGCAACTGTACTCTTGGATTTTGTGAATTGTACCCCTGTATTTTGTGAATTGTATCCAGACAGATTTCCTCAAAACATGACCTTATGCCAAAGCTTAAGATTAGAAACACTGAGCATCTCCTTGCCTGTGAGACTCATGCTCTCACAGGCAGCACTGTCCTTCCAGCCATCTGTCTCTATTTCCTTTTTGTGCAAATTCCAGCTACAGCCACAAACACTGGCAGCACAGACTGTCTTCTCCTCCACCATTTCAGAACTGCTCCTTCTCCACAGGTCACACAGACTTGCATTTCAGAACTGCTCCTTCTCCACAGGTCACACAGACTTGCAAAGGGAAACAGAAACCTTAGGAAGTGCTGTAGTGCTGAAAATAGAAACACAAGAGACAAGGAATAAAACCCTATGCCACTTCTGATACTGATTTCACTTAACATTTTTTTAAGGAAAATGTTTAAAGCATTCACATAGAATCATAAAATGGTTTGGGTTGGAATGGACTCTTTTTTAAAAATCATCTAGTTCCAACTCCCTTGCCATAGGCAGGGACACATTGTGCTTGACAAGGTTGCTCAGACTCCCACCCAGCATAGCCATGAACACTTCCAGCCAGGGATGGGGCATCCACAACTTTTCTGGGCAACCTGTTCAAGTGCCTCACCACCTTCACAGTGAAGAATTTCTTCATGGTATGTCCCAGGAGCCTCCTCTTCTCAAGGCTGAACAGCCACAATTCTCTCAGTCTGTCTTCACACAAGAGCTGTTCCAGCCCTCTGATTATTTTCATAACCCTTCTCTGGCCTTGCTCCAAAAGGTATGTGTCCTTCTTATGTTGGGCTCATCCAGAGCTCCCTCAAACTGCTGGCCACAGTTCTTTTTATGCACCCCAGGTCAAGTTGGCTTTCTGGGCTGTGAGTGCACATTGCTAGGTCGTGTAGAGCTTCTCATCCACCAACACCCCTGAGGTGTCAGCTGACATCCACGTACAGGTAATTAATTTGTATATAGATGTACCAATTAAAGTGGAAATATCTCTTCAAAATCAAAACAGTTTCCTCCCATTAGAAGGATGTTTTTGACTTCAATCTTGCTAAGTAACAGAATAGGATAAAAACTCCAAGTTTTGCAACGGAAGCACCAAGACTCACCAACTTCCGCAGTGTACAGTTACCTGTATCCTTCAACTGTAATGTCTGTGTGCAGGACCCAGCTCAGCAGCCCCCATGTTTTGTTGGCTATTTGTTTTCTATTTTACCTCACAACGATGTATGCCTAGCTCTGCTGAGACAGAGACCAGAATGGTTACTGAAAGACAATTCAGGTTATATCCACTCACTGCTTTCATTATGCATACACATTACACCTTCAACCAGCTCTTCACTCCCCTAGCCTTTTTTGCCACAGAGGGCAGGGCTGTTGTGCGCTACCAGAATAACCACCTTGACAGGGATTCCTGTGCTTGGGACATCCAGGTCCATAGTTATATAATTTAGTGGCAGGTGGATCCCCCTGTTTAGGAATTAGACATGGTCTTCTCCGCACTCTAGTAACCACGCAAATTCTGCTCCACCCAGCAACATTTAGTGGTCAGAGAAACACTGATCCTCTGTAGTGCTGATGAAAGCTTTCCACCATGGATGCATCCTTTCTTTCTTCCTGTGGCAAAGAAACACTGCTTAATAGGTATGTGTTCTCCTCAGAAGACCCTGAATACCCCAGCTGTCTGTGTGATGTCTTCCAGAGTGAGGTATTTCACACAGACTCATTTCTTGTTTCCTTATATCACTGACTTTTTTTACTGCCCAAACTCAGTAAGCTGCAGATTAGCTCTCAGCAGGGCTGACAGGGAAATTCAGGAAACACCAATGCATTCACCCGCTAGCATGAGTGAGATAACTCAAATTCCACAGGAGCAAACCCTAATAAGAGAGCAGACCCAGACTCCACTGAGATATCTCAAAAGCCAAGTCCTCTCTGCTCTTAAAACCACTTCCTCATGGTCTGCATCTGGCAGCTTTCAGTCTGCAGTGAATTAGTGAGAAGTTTCAAACCCAAGATCCTTTAGTTCAGTACAGACCTGCTTATCTTGGCAATGCTATCGGTGAACATCAAACCTCCTCCAGCAATCCATGTTCTCATTTAAAATATGCGTCATTCCCAAGGGGCCCAAGGTAATCCATGGAGACAGCAGCATCACTCCATATCACAGCTAATTTGGGTCGGGAAGAGCAAACTATTAAGTCTCCTAGTGAAAACACCTTGGCTCTGATACAAAGACTGTGATCACTAAAAAGTTATTCTGTGCTGAAAAAAAATCCTAATGCATTATTTCAAAAATAGCTATGTTATCATATAATTAAGTATTTCATGTTTTCATATAATTAGGTATTTAAAATGCACTAAAGTTGTGTTTAGAAAGAGATATATTAAATCAAACCTTGATACAAGATACTTTAATAAGTGAAATACAGCAAGAAATAATGCTACATTAATAGCATGCCCAACTAGATTTCCTTTTAGATTAATCCAAGACATGTTCTCTTGTACCAGCTCTTTACTGAAAGTGTTTTGCTATGCTCTACACAGAAAAAAAAATCATGCAACCTCTTCTATGTGATCGGCTGCGGTCTTCCTATAATGCATTTATTATTACATTTTTATTATTATTATATTTATATATAATATATATATAAATATATATTATATTATATATTATTTTTATTATTATTATACCCCTGCCAACTGATAATCCAGTATTCTTGGAAGAGGCAGTGGCAGAGTTTGGGTGGCACATCTGATGAGGAGGGTCTCCACATTTATAGCCATGACCAGTTTTCCCAGTTGATGGATTCAGGTACATGCCTACTCTTCCTAGAAACAGGACCTTTCACAAGACAACTGAACAGACTAATCTGCTGGCCTGGTGAGTGTGATTTGAAAATCCAGACTAGGTCCCTGGAGCTATCTACCTTGGCAGGGTGGTTGGGAATGGTAGCAAATGAGATACATCTGGCTTTGTCCAGGAGGACTACAGAAAAAGCACAGGGCCAGAAAGCAAGACTTGCTAATTTCACTCCCATCTTTACCACAAACAACCACACCAACCTAGCACTTCTCCTGTGCTCTTGTGGCATACTCCGGACACGCACTTCTAAAAGAATGGGACAACAACCTCAGCTGCTTTGAGAACTGAAGCAGAAGAAACTAGTGCCTGCCTAAGTACTGACAGACCCTTGTTTGGATGAGGTCAGTTACCTACCAGCGTCAATTACTCAATGTTTGATATCTTCTAAAGCATTCTGATACAATGAAAGACTTCTAAACATTGAAGGGATCTGCTGAGGGAAATGAAGTGTGCGTTTTTCTATGCGTCATACTGAATCAGCTTGATCTCCCCACACCCTTGAACAGCCCACAAAAACAGTAGGTGCTGCATGCCACCCCTCTTCAGTCAGATAAAGCATCAGTAATGTATTTACCACTTACTAATTGAGCTCCTCCCCTTAACCATCCAATTTTACCAAGGTCTTGCTGCTTCCCCAGAACACAATTCAGCTGGGTAAAGACAACCGCTCCAAACACGGCTCTTGCCATTTGCTTCAAGATTCAAGGGCAGCATTCATTCTTCGGGATGTCTTAACTCAGAGCTTCCCAGCAACTATATCCATGATACCAAAATGCTGCTCATACGGGCTTCCCTGGTTATCCGATCACCTCTGCAATCCGCTCAAAAGATTTGCTGTTCCTTACTCTAGCATCCATTTTGCACACAACTGTTTGGAAATTTTGAGCTCTTTAATCATTGGGATAGAGGTAGCCTCCCATACCACTACAACAGTCTGTGGAATGTAACTCTAATGCCAAGGACTGGGATACCCTTTATCACTTTTTTTTTTTTCTACGGCTGACTGCCACAGCCAATGTCTTGGGAAAGACTCCCATGTTCTGAAACAAGTTTTAGTAGAAGGACTACTCACTACATAAAGACCTATAACCTGCATGAACACTGAGAGGCCATCTCAGTGTAAAGAAAGTGTTAAGTACATGGCCACTGGCTGCAATCAGTTTAGGATTTCTGTAACTTTTACATCATCTTTACCTCTCAGATTCCCCCTTCCAGCTGTGTTGGTCATAGACAAGTATCTTGTTCTGTTAGTTTGGCAGACACAGATTATAGCAATAGATCTCTGCTTTCCAGCCCTCAAAAATAGCTCTGCCTGCTTCCTTTTGTCCTTCTTTGATTTCTTGAAATCTACTCCAAAAGCAAGACGCCACATAAGCAGTTATAGTCTCTGTGGGTTTTCAGTTTGATTTTCATTCCTATGCAGGGCGGGCGAAATGGTCAGGTGCCAGATTTGGTGTGTTTCCAAGCTGTTTTTGCACAGATTAACACTTCACTGGCTGCAAAGTCCATGAAAATAATCAAAAGCGCAAGAAGCTACTTTTACCAACTGTACTCAGCTCGTCCTCTAGTTCAGCAGTTGCGCCTGCAACATGTTCTAACCATGCTAGCACAAACGGTGGGTCGTCAGGGCAGCGTGAGGTGACTCTCACCTGCTCTCAACACAGGCCACCTTGATTTGCCATACTGTGCTGTAGATGAGCTGAAGGATTCTCAGAAAAAAAATGCATTTTGGGTGAGGAGAAAGGCTGAAATATCAGAAGGATTACCGGTGCATAAAAGGCAGATCAAATCAGAAGCAAGCTCAGAAGTAGTGCCATTCTCCCCATACCCTCGGTCGAAGCTCAAACTGCCTTATAAATCTACACACGATTTGGCCTTGCTGCCCAAAATACCAAGAAGCAAGCCAGAAGCTTGTGGCACTCACCTCTGGGTACCACTGAGAGGTCAGCAAGAAACTCTTCTCTCTGGGAGATCCACTGTCCTGAACACTGCAACACACTGTGCAGCATCTCAGCATAGACTTGAGGCTTTATCTCCCGAATTAAGAAAGAAAGGAGTCATAGGCAAGTCAGAACAAACAAGTCCAGCAAGTCTCAGTGACAGAGGCTTACCCAGTAGCATGATTCCTCCCCTAAAACAATAACAATACACTTCTTTCATCACACCTTTCATCCAGGAATCCCGAAGCCTTTTCAGAGCATTAGCTACACCCTGCAACACCCCAAATCAGAAGAGCCATGAAAATTTTGCAAGGACGCAGAGTTTATTTCCTTCTTTGGTATAATTAAGAACAAATCAGAAATTGTGGGAAGGACCTATGCAGAAAATTTGCATGTTCAAGAGAATATTCAGTCCTAGGCCAGGTATGGAGCTGACAAACTGATGCAGAATCAACGGTATGTGCCTCTTAACTCCCTTGAACTTCTTTGAAATTGGTCATTTGGCCAGAAAAGAATTTGCCCTCATAACAACAGCTAAATTCAATTTTTTTATTCTCCCTTAACTCCTTAGATGATAATTTTAATTGTGGTCACCTAGCTACACACACATTTCTGTCATGGAAAAATTCTTCTATGTCATAAACATGTGTGAAGTAAATATTTTCAGGTTGTCTAAATAAGTTCTACTTGTGCTAGTGACAGCAAGTTAGCTGGCAAAAATCAACACAAGCTCAAACTCTAACCTAAAGTAGCATTTCTGAGCCTTCAAATTTAAGTTTTTTCAGTACTTATAAACTTACTAGAAGATGTATGTGACTACATAGCATGACATACATATTTCTTTCAGAAGGAGAATAAAGACAGACCTCACAACAAGATACGAGTGGCACACATTTTCTTTGCTTTACTGCAATAAACTTTCTAACCTCTAGGGACTCTTTTCCTCCACCTTAATGACCTCCATTTGACCCCTCTACAGCTCAGGGATCACCAGCTTAGTAACACGCTGATGCAAATACACCTTACATGGCTGGAGCTCTTCCTTCCACCTTACATAAATCCACAGCCAAGTAACAGGAAGACTGCCTTTTGGAGAATGCCAGTTTCTTTTGAATGAAGCATAAGATAAAGATAAGCCTCAGCTTCTCGTAATTTGGATTCAATGTCTCAGCATAATTTGTTACAAAAGATGACGAATACAGTTGTTAATGACACATTTAATGTAATTGCTTCTCAATTCTTTAACTGGAAGCTGCGTTGCCATCCCATATAGGAACACCTGAGTCAGTCCAGATGTGCAAGAGAAATGCAGTCAGAAGCCTAGCTAGAGGGTGACAATTTCCAGGGTAAAGTATCAAGTGTCACATGATTACCTGGCCTGCATGTAGGTGATGCAAAGACATTCATTCCAGGCACCCCATGATCCTCAGACACAGAGCTCTGCCTTGTGACTTGATTGTGCCATAGGTGGAAGAATGTACAATGCAGAGCCCTCATGGCAATACTCACATAGTCTCACCTTCAGGTAAAAACCTGCTGCTGCATAAAGAAAGAGGTTAAACTGAGGATGCTTTTTTTGGGCACTGAAAAGCTCCTCCAGGCCAAATTTCATGGCAATTACTAAATAATATGATAATCCTGGTCAATGGTCCCCTCTCTGTACAAGATGTTCAAGTTTCTTCTTTTACTGGCAATAACTCCCTGCAACAAAAAGCTCATACGAGAAAAAGGGACAGGCAATAGTCACAAGTGGTTCCATTGCCAGGTACCAAACAAGTTAGGATCCTGATTCCAGAGACAGTCTTCTTATGTGTCCTTTGGTGCTACACTGCAACACTTAAGAAAAAGCCTGGAAATGTTAGTAAATGCTGGGAAGGAGGCAGAGGTTGTATCCCATCTGGATACCACATAAAAGAAAGAAAGACTCTGGAGGCTGATCATAAAATAGCAAAGATCAAGACCCTCACCGGAGTCCAGCTGAGGAGGAGGCAAAGTTTCAATGATTTTCTATAGCAATGGAGTAAGGAAGTGGCTCAGGAGGCCACTCAGGTTCACCAGGGACTGGGGAGCTTTCTAGAGTGGATTAAATGCAGAAAAAGATGAACAAATTTCTGCTTAAAGTGAGAGGGAAACCGGATCTGCACATCAGGAAGACTATACAGACGCTTCAAACTGACAAGTGGGAAGCAGGCTAGTGCACACAGGAAATAATGTATCCTGTTCCAAATCCCGTGGTAGACAAGGCAACCTCAAGTAAAGAATGCGGTAGAAGTTACACAAAAGTTACATAGTAATAAGAAAAAGATTTTAAAAGTCTGATATGAATAGGATACAGTGACAGAAAGCCAAAACAATGGTTTCCACGTTCCACAGAGTTCTATAAGACATTGATGGCAGACCCAGAATGGTTACCCTAAAAAAGGACTTGGACATTGTATGTAAAGGAAACATGGTGGCAGGAAGGCAATGGAATGTGGAAATCCCAGGAACTATCATTCCAGTCATTTTAATTACTCTGAAGTAAAATGTGAAACCTTTTACATTAACCGCACAGATAATACTGGATTTCTGGATGCTCCAAATAACTTTTTAAGGAACAGGCAACTAGGAAATCCACAAAATTGGAAGCAAGTTTTGATTCAGTCCTGACCAGTATAAACAATCATCTTTCTGTCTAAACCATATCAGCATCAGATTCAGTATTTCTACAGACACAAAAAAAACAGACCAACTACTGACATGCTGAATTTGAAAGATAGATATCATATAACATGATTAAAATCCCATGAAAGAGAAACCTTAAAGTGCACATTCTCTGGAGACAGAAAGACTATTTCAAGACATCATGTTAGTCTCAGAACAAATGCATCCTCTGCCTGGCAAAGGAAAAAAAAAAAATCTTGAGGAAGACTAAAGCTAAACATAATGGTATCTAAAAAACAACAAACCCATTGGCAACAAGTAAAGATAATACATCAATGATAATGCTTTCTCTGAAGCCAGCTCACTATATCATAGGAATCTCTGCTATATTCATAAATGGTCTGACAAAAATACTGAGATGATAATCATATAACAACTGTCTAGTTACCACAGTACAGAGAAAAACTACAGCATGCTGCAGAAACATCTTGTAATATTGAGATGTTATGCAATAAAACAACAGATGAACTTTGGAATTAGAGAGTATAAAGTGGCACACTTTAAAAAAAGGCCAGTCCTAACCCTACTCTCTAGGTGTCAAGAGTTGACTTATTATTCCTTTCAGAAATAAGACTGAAACAGAGCCTCCTATGAGAATATCAACTAAGGAGCAGTCAAACCAAACAAAAAATAAACAAAAAAAACCCACCCAAAAAGAATGCTAGAAACTACTTGTAAAGAGAACAGAAAAGCAAAAGGAAACAAAGTTATATCCCAATATTAACCCGCATTATGCCTGCATCCTGAATATTGCATTAAATCCTGGTCCATTTGCCCATCTCTAAGCTTATACAGAAGAATAATAAAATGTCCTGAAAGAAGCAGTACAGCTGATCAAAGGAACAAAACAGCTTCTATGCAGGGGATGCCCAAATAGACAGGATTGTGCAACCTGACAAAGGTATAGAAAGGGACAGGGGTCTAGAGAGTATCGTGTGGAGTAGAAAAAGTGAACAGGAAACCACTGTTCACAATATCTCCTCATACAATAACTAGGGGACTTCAAATAAAAATGGCCAATTTAAAATAAGCATAAGAAAATACTGGCATATAATAAGGAGCTCAGGACTCTTCGCTGCAAGTTTTGCACATCCAAATGAGATAACCAGTTTTCTGGAAGAAAATGCCACATAGAGCTCTTAAAAATGATGATTCAGCTTTGTGATCCAATAATTTTCTGACTCAAATCACTGGAAGTTTAAAAAACACTCTCAGGGAGGACCATAATCTGACTGCTGCATTTCATATTCTCTAGGTGCCCTCCACTGATTACTCCAAAAGGATCTAGTTCATTTAGCTGCCAGGCATTCCTTCGTAATAATAACAAAGTACTATTAATCCTTTGATAGAACAACTGATACCTAGGAATCGATGTTCCCCATCTTTGTTCTGACCCACCTACCTGGACCATCAGCCACAAGAAGGACATATTGGTGTCTTTTCTTTTAGACACCTGAGGAATCATAGCACACTTGCATGTGTAACATTCCTGGTTATAGGTTGCCCTCTGTGTATGGTCTGCACCTGATGACATCAGATCAGAAAGGGCCTGTGGCCCCCCAGTTTAGCTGGACAGAGTTTCTGATCTGAGAGGGCTTAAAGCAAAGCACCTCAAGTCTTGCACATGACCAAAATTTATCACTCTTTTTTGAAATTAATTTCAGACATACACAGTCATTTTCTTAGATACTCCCAAAGTTTGGCAGGTGAGGTATGGTATACAACAGGCACTTACCTGAAGTCAAGGCAGAAAGTTACTTTTTCTTTCACATGGGGACACTGAGATGACATTAATGCATCAGGGATTGATGAGCCAAGCATGTTTTTCATCTTTTCCCCTCCAAAACTGTCCAGTTACCAAGACACCTGAAAAGGAAATAAAATTGCCTTTATTCACAAGAATTCTAAATTAACATTAGAATAGAAAACTCCTGAAAGAATATTTGCATTTACAGAGGCTCCTGTCTGACAAATTCCTTTTCCTTCAAGAAAAAGTCAACACAATTACAACTCCTGAGGTACACACCTCACCACACCCTTGTAGCCACTAGTTTGGAGAGTTCAGTCCTCAGCACAGAACACTGCAACTGTGTCACAGTTGTGGTCTACAGCCACAGTTGGGAAAGAAGGAAAGGCTGGTTATGCAATGGGAAAATTGGAATGGAAAAGGTAAGATCTGTATAGTTAATGTCACAAAAAAGTTTGCAACACAGTTCTCGTTACCCTTTACAAATAGAAATCCAAATTACATAGCTTATGCTTTTCCTCATGGTTGCACAGAAGTATCTTAGTTGCACAGTAGTACATTAGTAATATTTAAAATATTAAACAAAAATGTATTTTAAAGTAGTTATTTTAAGTATTCAGGAAAACTTCTGTATGAAGAAAAGTAAAAAGAAGAGTATACACCCAACACACTTTACAGCTTGGCCTGTCCCTTAGTTTGAGTGTACTTTCACAAAAGGGAATATCCTTTATCAGGCCCACAAAAACAATAACTACTAAATCTTTCCTTTCTCATTTTATTGAAGGAATATCTTTCATTATGAAACTTCAGGAAACAAGAGTTTAGGACATAAGGACCTTCACCCACATTTTGCTTTTTCTCTTGGTCGCACCACTGTAGGTTGTTATTGTGATTGATTACCACTGCCAGACGACTTGCTGCCAAGTTTATTTTATTAATAATAGTCTGTTTAATTCAAGTCAAAATATGCTTGGAACTTGAAGCTTTCAATACAACTTGGGAATCTGCTCTAGCCTGAATCTTGGTCTACCTGGTATATCCAAACCAGATCGCCTTGCTGATGTCAAGTTTCCCTGAACATGAAAATCTAAGTAGCCTTCAAGCACAGTAAATGCAGGAACTGAAGCTGGAAGAAATTTAACACAAATCTAGACTTTTAAATAAAAGTTTAGTGATGTCTGAGCAGGAACACCCTATGGTAGCAAGGCATATATGTCACTTAACCCTGGTTCGGTTGTTACAGGGAAAGAAGGAAACCCATGACGGGGT